TCCTTCCTTCCTTCCTTCCTTCCTCCCTCCCTCCCTCCCTCCCTCCCTCCCTTCCTTCCTTGCTAACCAGAGGTAAACTGGCCCTTCCCAGCTTATAAGACAACTGGAGCCCTCTAGTGACCAGGAAAATTTACCAATAATTTCGTCTTTCTTCTTGTGCTATATTGGCTTCTAGAAGTCTTTTTTTTCTCTTTAATGGAAGGGCTTGAACATATTGTACTGAAGTTCTGAAATGCTGATATGGCAGCCTCCCCGTTCCTTTTAGATTTCAGATCTTTATGTTCTTGTTGCCCCCGGAAACAGAAACATGCTCACTTCATCTCCTGAAACTACCAAAACTTCTGATAGCAGAGAATACCAAAGCCACCTTCAGATCTGCCTCTCTGGCTTACAGCAGGGACAGGCACGTAAGGGTGAAAAGCAGTATATAAGTCTAAGTGCTATTGTTATCGTGACACAGGAAGAAACGGGTGGTTCCCTATGCGTGCCGTGGATGTTTTCATGCATCTCCATGTGGGCGGGTCTCCTTCCTGGCTCCCTTTTCAGCCTCTTGACTACTATTTTGTTGAAGGACAAGGTTTTCCCATCTCTGATCTGTTGGCCCTCTCTGTAATTATCCCTGGTGTTCTAAGCACACTTGGTTCAGTCAACAGGCGTCTGCAGAAAACCAAAATAATGTCATCATGCGAATCCTATCATAAGCTTAAGTCCCAACGATCCAATGCAAATAACTAAGTAGCAGTGTAATGATTCCCCCACCTTCTACATCCCCACCCCACTCTATGCTACTCACGACTGTTGTTTCTTCTCCTTCTTCCCATCGCTTCCTTGTTTGACACTGTAGCAAATGGATGACACCGTCTATACTTTTGAGACTCTTCTCCATCAGGAGCTGGGGAAGTCATTGAGCAAAGATGAACTGTGCAAGACAATTCAGCGCATCCTGGAGCGGGTGCTCAAGGTAAGGTCACTAGCCTCCCTCTTGGGTTGGGTTGGGTTGGGTTGGATGGATGGATGGATGGGTAGTTGGATGGGTGGGTGGGTGGTTGATTGGTTGGATGTATGCATAGAGTGGGTGGTTGGATGGGTGGGTAGTTGGATGGGTGGATGGATGGGTGGACGGGTGGGTGGATGGTGGTTCCTGGAAGACCCTGAATGAAGCACCATCTTCATTTGCAAACCAGGTGCTGAGACAAAAGCTAATTTTGATTTAGCTTAAAGGGGATTAAAATTACATTCAGCTGACAGTTTACTGGCCAGGTATATATAATAGCATGTCCCTTTACTCCTATTTATAATGGATGATGCATAGTTTGGCATCAATTTCTGAAAGGTCACATCCAAAGCTTTTGAAGGACGTGGGATGTAGCTCTGGCATTATACCCTTATCTGCCTAATCTTTTGTTTTTGAGTGCAAACAGGTAACGCCCTTCTCCTGACCATCTGTTGTACTGCTCCACTTCCCACATGTCTACTCTATTGTTCTTGTTTCTCGCTTTTTCATCCAAATGCTTATGAAAGCTTGAAAAGCAACATAACCCAAAGATTCTTCTTTGGGACAAAATACTAGGTGTTCAGCAATGTCAACCTGAGAAAGGAGGCCAGCTCTTTTATTAGCGAAGCTTCACGTGAACATGATCTGCTTCACAGCCATCATTTGTGATTCTGGTCCATTTTGTTCTCAGAAATACGATTACGACAGCAGCACGGTACGGAAGAAATTTTTCCGAGAAGCTCTGCTGCAGGTCACAGTGCCTTTCCTGCTGAAGAAGTTGGCTCCCACTTGCAAAGGGGTAAGAGTTAGGAATGCTGTTCCCTTCCCACCAAAGGGGTCCCTATTTTTCTACTTGCATTTTTTATGTGCTTTCGAACTGCTCGGTTGGCAGAAGCTGCTGGGACCAGTAATGGGAGCTCACTCCGTGACACAGTGCTAGGGATTCAAACTGCCAAACTGCCGACCTTTCTGATCGACAAGCTTAGCGTCTTAGCCACTGAGCCAGTGCATCCCTTCATCCCTTATTTTAGTAGTGTCCAAATGGCCACCCTCAAATTGCTGTCTCTGTAGCTGGTTTGCGTTTACCAGCAAAAGATGCAGAAACCTAACATTCAACCCAAGAGGAAATCTCCCTTCTGGGCTTCTTATTTCATTTGTCTTTAAAAAGAGGGGGGAGATGCTTTTAATTAAAATAAAATTACACGGCAGGCTCACCTGCTTTCAAGCAAAGTCTCAGTGCTGAACATTTATTTTTATTTCTAACAAAGACTTTGTGGCCCATGTTGACTTCAGGGAAGATGTTTTTAACTCCCTGACCACACCTGCCTGTTTCTAAATAGTTGTTTCTCCTTTGGGACAACCATTCTGTGAGGACACCTGGATCTTCTCTCTGAATTTGCCATGGAGAGTAGATGGGCTACCACCTAAAATAGTGGATCAGAATAGAGCTGGAAGGGACCTTGTAGGTCTTCTAGTCTAAGCCTCTGCTTAAGCAGGAGACTCTACATCATTTCAAAGAAGTGGCTGTCCAGTCTCTTCTTGAAAGCCTCCAGGGATGGAATGCCCACAACTTCTGTTCCACCGGTTAATTGTCCTCCCTGTTAGGAAGTTTCTTAATTCCAGGTTGCTTCTCTCCATGATTACTTTCCATCCATTGTTTCTTGTCCTGCCCTCTGGTGCTTTGGAGAATAAGTTAACCCCCTCTTCTTTGTTCTTCATATGGTTTAGTCTCCAGGCCTTTAATCATCTTAGTTAATTTTCTTTGCACTTTTTCCAAAGTCTCAACAACTTTGTTGCAAAGTGACGACCAAAACCGGATGCAGGATTCCAGGTGTAGTCTTACTCTTCTTCTAAGAGCAGATCCTACAGGGTGTATCACTGTGGGCCTTAGGTCCATGATAGCTTCTCAATTGTGATTTTTTTTCCTTTTCATTAGGACCTCTCAAGATTCCAGGAGCTGATTTTTGAGGATTTTGCCCGCTTCATCCTGGTGGAAAACACGTATGAAGAAGTGGTCCTGCAGTCTGTGATGAAAGATATCATGATGGGTAAGAGACTTTGGTTTTGTTTTGATTGAGTGGGATTGTAACTGACTGGAACCAGGTAGGGAAAGATGCTGTTTGAACATCCTACTGTAGCAGGGGGCATTTTTGTAAATCACCTCTCCAATCTGACACCTTCCAAAGATATTACCCTGAATTCCTATTATTCTAAACTGGGTGGGTGGATGATGGATAGGTGGGTGGTTGAATGGATGGGTGAATGGATAGATGGGTGGGTGGATGCATGGATGGTGTGTAGTTGGGTGGGTGAGTAGATGGATGGATGATGGGTGGGTGAATGGATGGATAGGGGGATGGGGGATGGGTGAATGGATGGATAGGGGGATGGGTGACGGGTGAATGGATGGATAGGGGGGTGGTTGGATGGATTTATGACAGATGGATGGATGAAATTCTCCTAACCAACATGTTTTTTTGTATGTAAAGGAACAATACCATAGTTCTCTGGAACTTTGGTTGGAAAATATTGCCTTAAGTGTTATTTAGCTTAGGATACAGAAGTTTCCATCTGCATTGGTCCCACTGTCAATTGCATTGATTAAAACATTCCAAGTTTTAGACAACAGCACGTTCTTACAGGGCTGATCTTACATTGTTTGCTCCTGGGATGTGTGTGTGTGTGTGTGTGTGTGTGTGTGTGTGTGTGTGTGTGTGTTTGAATGGAGAACTGGTTCTCTTGCTTGACTTGGGAGAATTGCCTGTCAACATGCTCTTTCCCCCCTTTTTTCTTTACACGCTTACTTCAGCCGTGAAAGAGGCAGCCGTCCAGCGGAAGCACAACCTCTACCGGGACAGCATTGTGATGCATAACAGCGACCCCAACCTACACCTGCTTGGCGAGGGGACACCCATCAACTGGGGGGAGGAGTATGGCGGTGAATCAGACACAGACCCCCTGGACGAGAAGCAGCACCGGGCCAAGCAGGTGGTCTCCATGATACACGTGGATGAAAAGGCTCTGCCTTATGATGAAGTGGAAAGATCTCCAGATGGTTCAGAACCAGAGAAGTCCGACCACTGTCCTAGTCCTCAGACCCAGGACTCCTTGGACGCTGTGAAGGAGGTCCGTATGTTGCTGGTGAAAGAGGTGGAGGTCCCAACTCTGGATGGCAATCAAGCTGAGGAACAATTAAGCAATGGTACTATTACCCAAGAGAGCGGAGGAACCCCAGAGCCCAGCAAAGGGAAGGAGGAGGAGGAGAACTCTCAAGCAGAAGATAGTTCTCCTACTACGGAATCCTCCACAGAGCTCAACAGAGAGAAACAGGAAGCCCCAGAACCTTCTCCAGTTGCCCCCACGCAACCCCTAGCTCCAAATAGAGGAGTCCAAGCAGAATGCCCAGAGCCCAGCAATAAAGAGACAGGCGAGGAAGAGGTCTCTGCCCAAGCCAGCAAGGCAGAAGCAGAGATCCCGCTGGAGAACAGCCACAAGGTCACAGACGAAAGCGAAGGGGTGCAAACTCAGTTCTAGATCAGCCTTCCCCTTGGAAGAGGATTCCTCGCGGCCAGATAAATGTGTGTGGGGGGGAGACCAGAACTGGGGGACCCTGTGGGATGGGAAGGACAAAGGCAAGTCAATCCAAGGCTGGTATAGGAGCATCTCCAACTTTAGATGTGCTTGATTCTTCTGGAGAAGTTCTGCCTTTGGAGGAGGGGGAGGGAAAGCAGGGCAAGTGAGGAACTCCAGAATGCACATTCTACATCTCTTGGGTCTGGGGTGATTTTTCTAGTCTTGAACTGGAGCGTTTCACACACACACACACACACACACACACACACACACAAGTTCTCCTGACTCAAAGTTGTATTGTTGTATTGGGTGTTCTGGAGAAGGGACTTCATTCATCTTAGATGCTAACACATGCCTGGAGCGTTGAAACACAAAGAGAAGTCATTGGGTTTCTCCATCTTGATCCAGACTGGTACTAATTTGACTTTCTGACCCATAATTTGGTTTGATGGTCCCATCCCTTTGTCTTCTTCCAACTGTTGATGGTAGAAGTCTCTTTCCTGTTAAGGGGTTCTCTTTTCCCCTCACCAGTGTTCACAATTAGGAATGGTTATCTCTTAAATTTGTCCTTTTCTGGACCTCCTATTCTAGATGTTTTTAGCACTAGAATTGCTATTGGAGTTGGTCCAATTGTTGTTCTTCCCCCAGCATCCATCTTGCTAGTTATGTAGAGATGAAGAGCCCTTAGTTTCAGGAGAAAGCAAGTAGGAGCATGCAGACTTTTGGAAGCACGTGGATGTGAGCTAGAGAAAGGGGTGTGTATCGTCGAAGGCTTGCTGATTTTGGAACAGACCGGCAAAAGTTGATGGTTATGAGAAGACTGCTATAGGAATTTAAATTATTTCAGTGAGGACTGCTGGCTGAGGACCTTATGTCTTAATTGGTCAGTCAAGGATGTTCCATGAGAACAAGTAACCAGTATATGTCATGCTAATGTAGGATTGTTAAGGAGTTCATTATCTTGGCCTGTTCAGGCATCCTTGGGTTTACCTACACAGGTTCTCTGCTGAATTCATGCTTGTTTGTCTGTGTATTTCCCCTCTTTTCCCAGGGAAGCAAAGGAGCAGAATGATCCTAGAAGCCATCAGCAGAGAATCCTACAAAAGGATCCTATAAAGAGAGATCCTATACGCATAAGTCTTCAGCCTAGAGGGAAGCCACCGAGGTTCCAATAATTTTTTTTTTAAAAATGCACTTGGTGTGGTGGCAGTAATGATTATCGGGGGACACAAAAGGGAAGATGGGGTTTCTTTTAGCTTTAGCAGTTCCTGGACAGTTACGTTTAGCAATTCAGTTGTGTTCTTGCAGGGATGACTGGCATCCTTTCAATAGGAACCCAATCCCTGTAAATTTTAGGTCTCCCTGCTGCTTGCATGACATGGGCAAAAGTGAAAGAACGGGTTGGGGATCAGGAACGTGGCCTTCAGAATCCCACCCTGCCTTTATACACCAAGTCTATTTCCCTCTCCCCTTCCTTCTGAATCTGTGAAGCGGATTGCAAGTTGGAAGCCACGCTGAGCTTCCAACCTCTGGCACTGGATTTACAAGATGCCAATCCAATCCACGTTTATATACCTATACACACATCCCTACCACTTATCCATCTCTTCATCCATCCCTGGAGGACTTTGGACAATATGGTTGGGCTTGGTTTTTTTTTTTTTTTACCTCCTTAAAGGTCCCACTTTATTCTTGTTTACCGTCAAACTCTTGTCTTGAGAGCATCCCCAAAGTGGTAGTGAGTCAGAACCCTGGCAACATCTGGATGTTTTCTGTTCTGGAAGAGGTGTTGGTTGGATCTTCTCTGCAGTGCTGATAGGGAAGGGCGGCTTCTTCTGTCTTCTGAGAAGGCCATGGTCCTCTTCCAAGTTAGTGGTGAAAGTTTCTGTCTTAAGAATCTCTGCATTGACTGGATTGAGTGATGAATGGGCCTACAAGAACCAATTTCCCCCAGGGCCTTCATCCCTCAAGAAGGAAATAACCTTGTTGGTTTTTCTCCCATCCTCTGTTTTTATGGATGGGGGAAGCAAAGCTGAGTCAGTTAGGATCTGCTGGCAGAGGATTGCTCTTTTGGGGGGAATTCCATAATCTCAAAAATAAAATAAAAAATGATTGGAATTCAACTTCTAGGAAATTGTGGTGCCAACTGAGGAAGGGGGATGATCTTCAGCGGATCGAGAAATAGGAAGACTCCTTGGAAAACTGCCCATGATCCAAATGCCTCAACACTGCCCACCTCATCTCGATTTGCTGCTGTAACATTCCAGTTTCACTCTGCCTGTTTTTTTTTTTTAATGTTTGTAGTAATTCCTCTTTGAAATGATTTCAGAGAGTTGAGAAGGAGGGAAAATCTCTTACTTGGATTCTACGATCTTTTAATGCCTTATGGTTGGGAACCAAAGGTTCTTTTTCTCCTCTCTCTCTCTCTCTCTCTCTCTCTCTCTCTCTCTAACAAAGATAGTATATATTGCAAATCTTATATCAAATGTTTAAGAGAATGTGCTTATATATTAATAAAAAAATCAGCTTTATTTAATCCTAGTTCACCCCATCTCCTCTTTTATACCACATTTGGCTAAAAGACGGCAGTTTTGCTGCGTTAGTCTCTCTCAACTGGTTTTCAAGGTTACTAAAATGTATGGTGAATCATTTTTCAAGAGATGGAGTTTTTGAACTTGAGGCAGAGAATACTATTCTAATTGTGTTAACCAATTTTGTTAAGTTTGCCTGGCTTTGCCAGACAATTAAATTGAAGGGGGGGGGGAGTTGTAGCGTGATTAGACACACATACATGAAGACGTGATAACTGACCACCCACTAATTTAAAACTATTAACCTACTCAATGACAAAGCATCCGTAGAGAATTATTCATACATTTATTGGACTTTAAAAAATACATGTCATAATTGCTTCCTTTTTAACATAGTTTTAGTAGGCACTAGAGATGTGCAAATTTTCATTCCAAGGGATTCTGCGTTTATCTCCCAGAGTCTACAATACGGGGGGATGATCGGGGGAAAAAATTGGGATGCAATTTTCATCTTCTCCAAGATAATCACGGTCTAGAAGCAAAATGAAGTAGTCTGGAATTCCTTGGAATGTTTCATTCCCAAGAAACAAATGTTCAACACTTTCAATGGGTGCCAACAAATTAAACACAGATAATTTGTCAAGGCAATGACCTCCTGTTTCCTTCACAGCATTCTTTACAGGGAGAAAGTAACTGGTTTAAAACTCTCCAAGTGAATTAAAAGTAAATTAAAATGTCAGACCTTTGTTTACCAACCTATTAAGTTGTTCATCTCTGAATACAGAATGACAGAGTTGGCAGGGACTTTGGAGGTCTTCTAGTCCAGCCCCCTACTCAAACAGGAAAACCTCTACCATTCTGGACAAATGGCTGTTCAAAACCGTCAATCCCTGCCATTTCCATCCAGACCCTGTTCATACTGATACTCGAGATGGGGATTGGGAAAAACAAGGGGTCAATGCTTGGAAAGGCTTCAGCTCCATCGTATTCTAATTTGAATTGGATAGTCTAGTAATTTTACCCCAGCAGGAAGATTTATTGTGTTAATCTGATTGATACTGTCCAGATGTGTGACACCTTAACTCCCTTTCTGGACATGCAAGTGGGGGAATGTAGGTTAGAAAACTGCAACTTCATGCCTGAACATGCCAAGAATTTGTCTCGTTCTCTTCCCTCCTCTAAATAATTACAGGTAGTCCTGGACTTACAACAGTTCGTTTAGTGGCTGTCACAACAGCACTGACAAAAGGGACTTACTGCCGTTTTTCACACTTACAACCATTTGCAGCCTCATAATCATGTGATCAAAACTCAGACGCTTGGCAGCATGTACCAAGGTCCTGTGATACCATTTTGCGGCCCTCTGACTAGCCAAGTCAGCGAGAAAGCCAGACTCACCGAACAACCAGCTAACTAACTGCAGGGATTCACTCAACCACGGTGGCAAGAGAAGTTGCAAAATGGGACAAAACTTACTTAACAAATGCCTCACTTAGCCATGAAAATTTTGAGCTCCATTGTCGTATGTTGAGGACTTTCCTGTATTTAAAAAAACATCTGTACAGTGATTGCGATTGTCCTTTCTGGGCCCTGAGTTCCTTAGGTTAGTCACCCAGCCTGTGGAAAAAAAGGTCTTTTGGCAAATAATGAATAATCTCAACTGCCCATTGCGTTGGCAGGATGTTGGCTTCATGAAAACATCTGGGAGAACAGGAGTCAAAAAGCAGAATGAGCATTGAGAATAGAAACAGACCAGATCTATTAAAGTGCTTCAAATCATGGTGTTGGCAAAGGAATTTTTTCCAACTGTGCTTTCAAAGTTTGCAAAGCTTATTGTACTTTAGATAATAGGACATTTATCCCCATCACTCCCTTTAAGGCTATGGGACAACATCTGCCCCCTTTCCTCCCCACTTTCTACATTTCTGCTGGTGGCTTTATTTTTCCAAACAAATCAAAATCAAGCTGATGAGATTTAAGGGTGACCAAAGACAGTTCGATCAGAGCTGCCCCATCTCAAACACGTTGAGGCAACCTCAACGACAATCATATTGTGTGTTCTACCCCTAGATGGAAGTAGATGGACACTACTTGAAATTAACTTTCTGGACACGAGAAAAGTGTTAAGGCACTTAGGGAAAAAAATTACTTGGAATTGGAAGCACAATGGCTATTTTAGAGGATTAGAAGTGCCAGCCAAGATGAGAGATAAAATGAAATCCGAAGAGAACCTGAGATCTCTGCTGGAGAGGACTTGTCCCAATAGAATCCATTCCAGTTGCAAAATCGGCGTGATTTTCACTTTTGAGCTGTCTCTACGAGAAGCTTCCATGCTGCTATCTGAGGCATAGTAGTGGATACGCCATGAAGTATCCGATGGCTGAACCCGCAATCACTCCCAGGAAGATCCACGTGTTGTAAGTCATGACGGCCAGCATCACCAGGTAACCCAAAAACACCTGGACCATGTGGAGTAAGGTCTCCGCTAGGTGCCATGAAAGACGCCTTGTGAAAGAGGAGAAGAAAAAGTTTTTTTCAGAAAGCAAGTAAATGGATTAAAAAGAAGTTCTACCCACTAGCTTCCCTCTGTCTTGTCTTCCATTCCTCCCAAATGTAAATTTAAGGGTGTTAATTTAATGAGGTTCCTTGTTTAGGATTTCTGCCAACTAGGCCTTTTAGAATATAGAATAGTAGGGTTGGATGGGACCTTGGAAGTCTTCTGGTCCAACCTCCTGCTTGAGCAGGAGAACCTATACCATTCTGGACAAGTGGCTGTCCAATCTCATCTCCAGTGATGGAGTACCCACAACTTCTGGAGGGAAGCTGTTCCACTGATTGTTCTTCTCACCGTCTGGAAATTTCTCCTTAAATTCTATGTTGGATCTTTGTTTAATGACCTTCCACCCATTGCTTCTTGCCCTTCTCTCTGTTGCTTTAGAGAATAGGTTGACCCCCTCATCTCTGTGACAGCCCCTCAAACATTGGAAGACTGCTATCATACCACCCCTTGTCCTTCTCTTCCGTGATGGTGCAGTGGTTAGAACACAGCATTGCAGGCTAACTCTGCTGACTGCTAGGAGTTCGATCCTGACTGTCTTAAGGTAGACTTGGCCTTCCATCCTTCTGAGGTTGGTAAAATGAGGACCCAGATTGTTGGGGGGAATAGGCTGACTCTGTAAACCGCTTACAGAGCACTGTGAAGCATTATATAAGTCTAAGGGCTATTCTATTCTACCCTACCCTACCCTTCTTTATTCATTTGCTATACTGGCGCAGTGGTTAGAATGCAGTATTGCAGGCTAATTCTGCCCACTGCCAGCAGTTCAATCCTGACCAGCTCAAGGTTGGCTACAGCCCTCCATCCTTCCAAGGTGGGTCAAATGAGAGCCCAGATTGTTGGGGGCAAGAGGCTGACTCTATAAACTGTTTAAAGAGGGCTATAAAAGCACTGTGAAGCGGTACACAAGTCTAAGTGCTATTGCTAGTCCTTCCTTCTTTTCTTGTAATTAGAATGCAGTATTGCATGCTAACTCTGCCCATTGCCAGCAGTTTGATCCTGACCAGGCTCAAGGTTGACTCAGCCTTCCATCCTTTCAAGGTCGGTAAAATGAGGACTCAAGATTGTTAGGGGCAAGAGGCTGACTCTGTAAACTACTTAGAGAGGGCTGTAAAGTACTGTGAAGAAGCATAGAAATCTAAGTGCTATGGCTGTTGCTATTCCTCCTAGCTGCAGTGTATAATCTGCCCCAACACTTACTCTAAACTTGGTTGCCTCTTTTGGAAACCTTAAAGCCACCATAACAACCACCCTTGCACACAGATGATTCTTTTCGGGCCATAGAAGTAGTCACACTCCAGAAAATGTTGCACTGTCTATGGCTGTCTTCTGCTCATCTGCATGTCTGGTTACACATGTTAATCACAAGAGCTACTCTATCATCATCACCCGCCCTACTTCAATAGCATGGTACAGTTCATGAGAGATGCTTTCATGGGGTCTTGGTTTTCGGTCAACAACGCGGCATGTGAGCAATCTCAACCAGGCTTACGGTTACATCAACACCCTTATCTCTTCCTTGGCAGTGTTGGTTCCATTAACACAAAGGGGCTTTGATAACCAAGGACTCGAAAGACGGAAGATGCTGAAAAGATCTTGTCTGGCATGGCTATGGTCCAGCTTGTACACCCATGCTGGACACAACTTGGAACACCGGAGTTGGAAGCTGCTGTAGGTGCCTCACCTGGGGGTTCATCTAATGGAAATAATGGGACTTCAACAGGCAGGGCTGAAGGACCATTGCTTCCAAAAGATCTTTTCTAAATAGAGTACCAATGAAGGAGAATAAGGCAAGCTCAGGGTTGAATGGAGGGGTCCTTGGTGCTCTCTGAACTAGGTGGTTTTCTTGCAGACGTTTCATTAGCAAACTAGGTGACATCATCAGTGCTAGAAGAGAGTGGGGTTTGCTCTTATTTCTCTTTATTAGCCACACTCCCTTCTAGCATTGATGATGTTGCCTGCTTTGGTAATGAATCCTCCCCTTCCCCCCTCCTCCTATTCCCCTTCGGGGGGTGGGGGGATGTACAATAAAAACCGGGCAGCTTGCTGAAAAGAAGTTTGAATTTTTCAGAACATGAGTGCTATAAACAGGAAGGCCAGCAAAGGATTGTTTTGCGGGTTTGTGAGTTACCACAAACAGAGCTCAGCTCTTGATAGCCTTGAAACAAAGGTGTCCCTTGTGAAACAGGCATTGCTGCTTCAAAACTTATGCGCCAGCTGTAACTGGAAGGGGGCAGAAAATATTACACCCAAGACACATGCACACAGTGTTTTCCTTACTTCTTCAGGGAGGTGGTGGCTGACCCCACATCTGAGTTCACGGAGACCCCTTCTCTCAAGTTTTCCTGACTGATGCTGGGGGCCACGGCTGTCTGTGAGTGCTGGATCAGTTTTGCTTTGCCAACTTTGATGCCTTCATATAACATGGTGAGTAGCATGATCACAAACACGGAAAGCACCATCCCTGTTAAAACACAGTAGAAACATGGATAGGGCGGGGTTAATAAAGGATAGCATATGGAAGGGACCTGGGAGGTCTTCTAGTCCAACCCCCTACTCAGGCAGGAGAACCTATGCCATTCCAGACAAATGGTTGGAAGAGTTTAGGGTAAAAGGAAACCAGGCTGACACAGTGGCTGGACACCATCAAAGCTGATACCAACAAGAGTATCAAACAACTGAAAGGAGTAGGGCAAGATCAGAAGATGTGGAGAGAGACCTGGCTCATAGAACCACCAAGAGT